CAAAGGCGCGCCGTCAGCGGAGTCGCCCGCCCAGCTTTCAGCCGGTGTCTGTTCCCAGAGCGCGGCCCGAGCTGGACCGCGGACATGTCTAACTATCGAGCGGCGGTATTGTGGCTTTAAGCGAGGCATATGTACCGCTGCCTATCCTGTATGTAGTCATGACAAGACGCTACATTGACTGGGAACTATGGAGATGAAAGGATAGTCTGGTCGGCCCGCCTTTGCGTTTCGTTATTCGTTATTCGTTCATGTTATTTTATTCTACTATTAATACAGTGATGCTCACTGTCAAGTTGACACAACCTACCAATTCACGACTACATACTTGCCATGCTGACTAGTTCCTGATGCAATAAACCGTCGGCACCAACGGTACATTCCTACATTCGTGTTGAGGCCAACTTTGGGCTAGCCCACCTTTGCACATGGCCGGAAGCTCAAGTTGGGTCGATGGCAACCAGCAGCAGCGCCAGGGCTGGCTCTGTCTTGCAAGAAGTAAAAACCCCGAGATCTTTGTTGGTGGTGGCTGAGCACAAGAACCCTTGCTCTGCGGACCGACTCCACACACCCTCTTGTTCAAAGATCTGGCTCGCTGGCCCATTTGTTCCCCCCCTCTCAATTTGTATTGCCGGTGAGGGCGCCTCGGCGATGAATGGTTACATTATGGCGTCGCAAGCTGTTGCTCCAAGCTCCATCCCATGACGGACGGAAACAAAGCATGCTCCCACTCTCGCGTCTTGATACTCGGGGGAGGAGGGGAGGGGAGAGGGGGGGGGGTCCAGTATGCTGTGACGAGGTTTTCCCATTCTCTTTTTCAAAGGGTTGGCTTGCTTCATCCGTGTGCTCACCCGGACAGCCCAAGCAGCGAACGAGCGTAGCAATGCAGTTTGCGCCAAGCAAGTTGAAGATGATGCATCATACCAGGCGAGACAACTACCGCGCCGGGACTGCTGTGCATCGCCCGGAAACCCAGGCCAACATCTGCCGGGCCACACACCACACCCCTCCTCACTCTTACACCGTTGGGCTGGTGACGGGTTTTTGCTCACTGGATGAGGGGAGAGAGGGGGGGCTTCCGCTTCCAGGCTTCAGCTCTCAGGACGGGCTGGCTGGCACTCGGCAAATGCAGAAACGGCATCGTGACGCGAGTGTGTGTGGCCTAGCGTGCAAGCTGAGCGCAGTGACGAAGTTGAATTTGGCACAAGACGGAAGGGGAGAGAGAGAGAGAGCAAACACGAAAATCCATTACGCACGCTTGGCTCTGATCGCTCGGCACCTACGTTCGATTGAAATGGGCAAAATGCCGGCGCTATGCCTCTTTCTTTCCCGTGAGATGAGATGAGCAGGCCGATCACTTGGACGCTCGAGACACCTGTGAGACAGACTGAGAATGCATGCCCTAGACCGCATCGTCACTTTTTTGCAAAAAACCCCCTGTATTGCATTTTGGTCAATGAATCGAACAAGTGGTCAAATTGATCCACTGGCGAGCTCCGAACGGGCCCTTGTTCTGGTTTCGGGCCTCGCCATTTTCACATTTCTGGAAGCAACACGGGAGGGGGAAGGAGGAGAGGGAGAAGGGAGGGAGGGGGGGGGTGTGTCTGTACTAAATGGCACTTGAATCGACGGGGTGGCCCACGGTAGTTTTGTATCATCTGGGGCGAACCCGTCTCATAGGTTCGGAGCGCTCCATCTGACCTATTCGGGACAGACGTGGACACGGGACGGAGATGATGCCCAAACTGGAACAAACTGTATCTTTGTGACGGGGGTGCCATGCTTTCCCTATTATTACCAGCGAGCCCATGGCTGGAGCCCAACAAGGCTCTCCGATGGCACGCCCACGAAGCGGAGGTATTTTTTTTTAAATTGTTTTCAATTGTTTTTTTTTAATACATGCCCTGCTGAAACTTGGAGACTCGGCTGATGACTTTGTAGAGTCGTATTTTGGTACATGATGCGTACCAACGACGTGATGTTTCAAGTCAGTTGCCGGTGGCACGTTGGTGACGCCGACTGACTAGTTAGAGCAACAAGGCTCATAGTCGGGATTCGGAAAACTATTTTTCTTGTCTTGATGCAAAAATAAGAGCGTGGTCGAGAGTCAATGTATTGCAGGACTGGTGTCTCGGTATGAGGTTGCGGTGGAGGGATTGGTGGGCGGTGGGTAGCGGCGAGGGATGTGACAGCAGCCACAAGTTCGAAGCAAGATTATTACCAGACGTGAAATTGCCTACATTATCAGAATTCTATTGCACATCGCCACGTTGCTTCAGATATAGGCCCTTCCCCTCCCCGAGGTCCGGCACTTTATCAACATCGGAAAAAGGACAATTATTGCCCTTCCCAAAAAATACCACTGGATGGTGGAGGCAGAGAGTCAAAGCAGCTCACCCCCACCCCCCTGGCTCAGCCAGTGCCGGGCACGTAACCCTGCCCTTGCAAAAAGACGAGGAAAGGAATAAGAACCCAATGAGTACAAATTGCTGGTAGTTGTCTACGGCCGGCACGCGGCGGTGGCCGTCTCCCCCGTAACTAGAAAAGCCAGGGTGAAAAGCCGGTCGCATGGCATCACATCACAGTTCAAACGAGAAAAGCCCGAGGCCCCGGGTGGCGCAGGTGCCCGCTGTCGTTCGTAGGTAAAACGGCGACTGGTACATATGATGATCGAACCCCTTCCGCCTCGCTTGCCGTTGATCAGAACTCGGCACTGCGGATGATGATCGGGTGACGTTGAAAGTAAGTCTAGTAGCTACTTCGAAGTGGTTCGCCGAGCTCACGAACAGGAAGACACGGCGCTAAAAAGCATCATCAATAAATCGGGTTATCGCTGAACACCACCAACTTACAAGAACTGCTTGCATCGCCTGAGGTTCCTGCTTCTGACGCAATAATACTAGTCATGCGCTGGCGGCGGTTTCTTCAGGGCTGCTCAGCTGCCGCGGCTCGGCAACGCGGCAGTGCCACAGCATGATGAAATCAGAGTTTGAGGCCACGTTCGGTGTCTCCCGCTAGCGGAATCTCGAGGCCGACGGCAGGTCTAACTTGGTACAGTGGTGTAGTTAGTTGGTTGCTGGAATGGCTGGCCAAATTCCGAAGCTCCCTGGCCAGCTGTACTAGTGGGTTCCAGGTATGTAGGTAGGTACCTATTCCGGCTGAGTGAGTGATTCTTGCAAGCGCAGTGGGGTGACAAAGCCGGAATTAAAAAGTCACAGCTCTGTAAAAACGCCATCGACAATTGGCCCAGCGTGCGGCTACTGGAGCCTCAAGTAAGCTCAGACGTCTGATATCTCACTAGCGGGAGGCCGGATGGAGAGCCCCTAGAACGAACTGCTAATTCTGGTAGGTACCGAATGGACTAGGTGCCGGTGCTAACGTCGATTATTCCCTCTTTTACTGAAGAAGGAAACTAGTTTTTTATTAATAATTAGGACGTGTTTTGGCGGGAAAAAATCCCCCAAAAAACCGCCACAGTGTACATACACATAATTTGTACAGGAAGCCAATTTGTCATCCAACTCTCCCCGCCCATGGCGCTGTACCTGCAGGGGATCGCACAAAGAAACTCTGGAGAGGCGCAAACGCTTCCGAATTGGCCCAGATCGGCTCTTCCCCCCCAGATGGGCCTTTTGGTGATTTAACAGAAAAAAAAAGGCAGCGTGGACCTTTGCAGTTGCACAATGCGGTAGCCACAGCAGATGTGGCCCATCGTCGTGTCCACTAGGCTGTCACCGTCCACGTTCCGTTGGTGGTCTCTGAACGGTCCCATCTCATCTCGTTGCTTGAATGTGGCAGCTTTTGATGGCTCGACTTCTGGCCGCATTGTGAGAGAGAGTCGTGTTTCTCCATTCCAACGTTGGGACGGCTCATGGGACAAGGAGGCGCTGCGTCAGCAAGGGCAAAAGTACTTTTGACGTTGCACAGGCACATAGACGATTGCCACCCCCCGGTTCAGTTCGACTGCCCGCGTTGGCTATATCAGGAACGGCTACGAACAACGAACGACGAGCTTGAAACTTCAAGGAATAGCGGACAACTGGTTACCGTCGACGCAAACCCATCTCGAAAGCATCAACCCGTTGGCCACATCCCCCGGGCTTGTTCTCACGTCTGCCTGCCTTCCTGCCTGCCGCCATCGTGGCTTGCCCACCATCGCTTCATAACCGAAGAGGCAACAACCAGGCTGCGGCATTCGTATGACAAGGTTGAAGGTTGCCGGTTCTTTTTGACTCGAGCCAACTGTCACCCCCTCCCCCTTGTGGCGGCGGCGGCGCCATCCAGACCATCCATCCATCCACACACAACACAACACAACACAACACACACAACACACACACCCCTCTCTGTTCCGCCCCCAGCTTGCCCACCCCCCTCTTCGGCCAAGGGCGTGTCAAAGAAGAATTTCTCGTTACATGGCGAGTTGGACAACAAGGCAAAAAACCTCTTGTGTTAGTCCGGCCCCATCCTAACTAGTTATCCTACACAGAGCCAGAGAGAGGTGCAACATGGGCTTTGCATCCAGCAAATAAACGCTTCACGTTTGTCCCGGCAATCTGGTAACCGTTTTCCTTGGCTGCTTTTTGCATTGCTCCGTCGTTTTCTCATCCTTTTGCTCAGCTGCCCCGTTTCTTTTTCTTGTTAGTTATTTTGTCCTAAATAAACCACCCGTTCCCGTCATCCTGCTCTTTCTCCTCGCTTCAACCCTTGCCTGCCCACCACCCAACACACCCAACGACCACATCATAGACTGCCCTGGTCGGCCTCTTCTTCTATTCATTCAACTTTCTTGCTGTACAAATCACATGGGCACCTGCCCTTCTCCAACGTTCCCCTTGCAAAACAACAAAACCAAATCACACTGCCGGCGGCTTCTTGTTCGGCAAATCGCTACCAACAACGCTGCTGTCATACTACTGATCTAAACTTCCAAGAGCCACTGACAAGAGAGATTGAAAGAGAGGGTGCCTTGGACCTCGTGCCTCTCTCAGAATCTCCTCTCAATGGGTTCCTCTACAACATTCGAGTCGCTTCCACGAATGGCCTTGCCAGACACCCCCCCAGAGCTGGCGAGCCCGACGGCGACTTCCTTCTCCTCTAGATCGTCTCCCTCGGCAGATCACGTCTGGGCCTCGCAGGCATTAGCATCTTTGCCCATGTCAAAGTATGATCAGACGCCGGGCCGTGACGAGGCCGACGACCGTCGCGAGAGCACGCCTCTGAACCCCTCCAAACCCGCCGAGCGCCTGCAACTGCCTCCCTTTAGCAGCCTGTTGGACCCCCCATCCTCCATGCGGCCGCTAAATCCCCTCCATGGCCGTCCTTCTCATTATCCAATGCACTCGCCGCTCGACCGTCCCCACGCCTTGACGCCTGCGCCGAGTCAAAACTCGTCTTTGTACTTTCCCTCGCCAGCAGCGCAGCCCAGAACCACGTATGACGCCTCTGCGCATGAAATGGGACAGTCCTATTCCGGCTCGCGATCGCCCCGGATGAGCGAGTCCAGGAATCAGACGGACAGGGAGCTGGCTTGGTCGCACCACGAGACTGGGCGACACGAGTACATGCTGGGCACGCAGAGTACGACGCGTAGGCACCTTCCAGAGTCAAGAGATGGACCCATGGACGACAAGAAGGAGCAGCAACCGAGCTCACATTCCCAGGCGGCCAATGCATCGGAGAGCGCCGCTCCCAAGAACAGCCTGGGCCCCAAGATATGGACTGGCAACCACTTCCTGCCTCGTTTTGTGCGGACTGCTGAGGTCGAGGGTGAAGGATTGTGCTACTTCTACGACGACGAAACGCACTGCAAGACGGTCATTGATGGCGAGGCTGTCAATGCCCTGTGGGGTGTCACAAAGGCTGGCAAGCCAAGAAAGAGGCTTGCCATTGCGTGCGTCACCTGTCGCGAAAAGAAGATCAAATGCGATCCCGACTTTCCTCGATGTGTCCAGTGCGACAAGTTTGGCAGGACCTGCAAGTTCAAAAACGCACCCAGAGGCGGCCAGACGGCCTCACCCTCGACACAGCCGGCGGAGCTGTATAGTGGAAAGGCCATGTCGTCTCCACGAGGCTCCCGAGATTCGAGGTCCCCTGCTGCCCAGCTAGCCTGTCATCCGAGCTTTGACGACAGCCATCATAAGCGCCTTAAGCTCGGAGCAGAGACGTATAGCCCTTCAAGAGGCAGATCGCTGGCTGTGTCCGACGCCATGGACCATTCCAAGTCTCCTCAGCCATCCTACCGACGTCCATCGGACACTGGTCGTATTTCGGACGAGGTCTTATGTTGTGCCTGGCACACTGATGTATACGCCTCTAATCCCCCGCTCATCACCGATGTCGTCACAAAGTTCTTTTACCATATTGAATCTACGATGCTTCTAAAGTTTCTGCCCCAGACTATTTGGGAAGCACACCTCGCCAACTCGAGCCATAGAAAGCTGCCAGAGGACTTGATGCTCCTATACAGCGTCCTGACCGTTGGGGTCGCTCTTTCTGACGGCTCCAGGGATATTGCTTCTGAATATGCCCAAGTCGCCCACTACGCCCAGAAGAACCTCGGGATGGACTGCCTGCAGCTCGTCCAGAGCCGTATCCTTCTGGCGGCGTATTACATGTCCGTTGATCGCGTCTACGATGCGAACGAGCTGCTATCGTCTGCCTGGGCAGCTGCAGCCAGTTTGCAGCTGAATGTGGAACTCGACAAGTCTACAGAGGCCAACATGACGACGTATCCGTTTGGCATGACCAGAACTGGATACAAAGAAAGCCGTCGCCGCACACTCTGGTCGCTGTTCATGCTAGAAAGATTCAACGGAATTTTCCCCAACAGATGCGCCATGGTGAATGTGGAACATCTCTACATTCGTCTGCCCACCGACAATCAAAGCTTTGAAAATCAAATCGAGCGGACTGAGCCGCTCTTTGACCCATATAGCTGCACAGCATCGACAAGTCTCGGCTCGCACAATGTTCTGGCTAGCCTCGTAGAAATTACGTATCTCTGGTCCGAGTGCCAAGCTACGTTGTATCGAATTGCCTCCCGCCCGGCCGCGGCCGCGGACGAGTCGACCAGAATCCAGACTCTGGCAAGGAAGATTAGAAGCTGGTTTGCTTCGCTGCCGGAGCACCTGACCTTTTCCCCGGGCAATCTCAAGGAGTCGCTGTACAGTGGCAGTGTGGGAGCTTTTGTTTCGCTGCATCTGTTGTATCACCACGCAATGATCAAGGTGAACCGCCATCATCATTCCGCGGGCACCCTGCTTGGCTCGCAGGTGCAGAGCTGCTCTGCGCACAAGTGCTTCGGCCATGCCTCTGGCATTTTGGAACTACTGCAAGAATTTGAAACCTTGCGTCGTTCGCAGATGGTCGTCACCGTGCACCCCCGTGTTGCGAGCCTGGCTCTCGTCGACGCGGTTGATACGCTGACGGCCAATGGCACGCTGGCAAGCCTCTCGTCCCAGATCAACAGCAGCAGAGAAGCTCTGGCATTTGTTGAGCAGCTGTCTCATACGTGGGAGGACATGGCTCGCTCCAAGGCTGTTATTCTCAAGCGGCTGGATGATTTGCTCTACATTCGCAAGCAAGGGCCCAGACCGGCAAGCCCAATGAGCGGTTACCGCATTCTGAGCACAAGCGGTGATTGTCGCTGGCAAATTTGCGAGCCAATCGATTCTCTGCTACCCAAGGAGATGGATATCGTCTACACGATGCCTCTCTGATTTTCAACCGTTTTCTGCCAACTCCTCTCTTTGTTTGAATGTCGCCCCAATCTATGGTTGTGGAAACCACAACGCTTGAAGCATCGGCTGGTGCTTTTTTTCTTTGGTTTTATATATCTCTTCAAGGGCAAGCTCGGGTCAAAACGGAACCTAGGATAGTTTTCAGTCTACAGTTTGGACTCTGCCGAGATGGGATTCCGCGGCAAGCCGGCGCGCTACGTTTTGTTTTTTTGGGGGACCAGGCACGCCTGCAGATAAGGCACAGCATCGTAAGAATGGAACATAGGTCTTCAGAGACCGAATCATGATATATGACCAATGAAACTACCTTGACAATCTTTTCATGATTTCTAAACCGCGCGTGTAAGCTGTATAGGCGACCGACCTGCAACTTGATGCTGTTGCTGTTGAGAAGCTGCCTAAATTTGAAATAATAAGAGCTAAATTAACCGCGCGGCCGCAAGCGCTTCTTCGGAGTGTTGGTCTAGTTCTAGCCAAACAGTCAGTCTCCATGAAGCTCACCACCTAGCTCCGATAATTGAACATGGGGAGGTGGCCAAACCAGGGTACGGAGGCTAGTCACGCGACAGTGACAAGGGCGAGACAGAGTCGATCGTCGATCCAGCAGGCACTGTTCCTTGTAAAGAGAATGTTGCTGTAGAGTCGATAACTAGCGGTTATCTACCTGAGTAAGGCATTTTTTTTCTGGATTTATTAATTTATTGAAACCGCAGAAACGAGTCGCCCTTATACGAAAACGGGGCAGACTTGGGCGGATACGGATAGATGCGTATTTGATCCAAATATCCAAATATAGGCACATTCTAGGCGAGGGGCACTGTAGAGGGAGCCTGACCGCCCAGGTTGAATACAGCGGGGGGTGACGCCTAAAACCCCATAAGCCCACTGCAAGTCACCTCCAACTCCCTAAAAAAGAGCGGCCGCCGCCTCGTCCCAAGTGGTCCAGTCCCCTCTTTTTCTTCTTTTCTGCCCGTCTTAATCTTAATAACCAAAGGGTCGTCACTCGTCGATCATTTATTCCCCCTTGTTGGTGCCAGGAAAAAAAAAAGGGAACATCTTGCGCACACGCTGACGGGCTCTCTACGTGTCTCCTTTTTTGCCATCAACTCTCGTTTTTTTTCTTTCCTGCTCAACCGCCGCCTCTTCTTGTTTTCGCGCCGCCTTCCTTTTCTCGACACTCGCTTTCTTCGTTCTTCTCCTTCTTCAACTAGCCTCATCATGAGCTTCTTCACGGCCGTGATTGGCGTCTTGGCCCCTCTCATGATTGCGCTGTCGCCCGTGCTGTCCTATGGCGACCAGGCCCTCGCGATGCACCGCAGCAAGTCGAGCGCCGGCTTCTCGCTCGATATTCCGCTCATCATGCTTGTCGCTTCTTTTCTCCGGTACGTCACTTTCGCGACATTACAACCCTGCGTCGCGTCCGGCCCCGAGGATCCAACCCTCCCCCACCACCACCATCGCCATCGCCAAGCCTTTTTCGCTGCAGATATTACTCTATACTTTCCTTTCTTCCCACGTGCTAATCAATATTTGTCTGCAGCATCTTTTACTGGCCCGGCGCGCGATACGATACGAGTCTACTTGTCCAGTCCGTCATCATGGTCGGCATGCAGCTGGCCCTGCTCAAAATCGCCCTTGACAACCGCCCCGGCCCCTCCTCCAAGGGAGGCGAGTCCAGCCAGCCATTCAACGGCATGCAGGCCAACGAAAAGGGCTTCGTCGAGGCTATCCTAAACTTTGAGCGCCCCTACAACTTTTGGCAGTGGAAGGCGGACAAGCCGTACGTTCCCAGACAACCCCCGATGCGCGACACCTCTTCGATGCGCTGCTAACTTGATGTCGCAGGTACTGGCACTTCCTCATGTACTTTGCCCTCGCCCTCTGCGTCCTCCAGCTCATCTTCGCGCCGATCCACTCCTTTTACGGCTTCTACTCGGAGATGCTCGGCATCGTCGGGCTCTCCGTCGAGGCCACCCTGCCGCTCCCGCAAATCGTCGCCAACATCCAGACCCGCGCCTGCAAGGGCTTCCGCCTCTCCGTCCTCGCCAGCTGGCTCATCGGCGACGCCATGAAGATGATTTGGTTCTTCACCTCGACCTCGGAGATTCCCTGGGCCTTCAAGGTCTGCGGCGTCTTCCAGGCCAGCTGCGACTGCCTGCTCGGCCTGCAATACTTCTTCTTTGAGACCCAGGCCGGCGCCCAGCTGCTCCAGTCGACACCGTTTGCCTCGGCCGTCAGCAGCCACCACAGCGTCCAGTACCACCAGATGCAGCAACTGCAGGACAGTGACTGGGATAGCCACCACCACCCGTCCGAATACAAGCCTGCCCTGCACGCCCCCGCGAGAAGCCTCACCCCGACGAGACGGCCTGCGCCCTTTAGCGACGACGGTGTGGAATAGAGGTCCCATACGACCTATCGACTGGTGCAGGCGAGCTGGCATGTCGCTGCCGCTCCCTTGCTTTCATCCTCTGCATATCTATGCGCCCTTTGAATTTTTTTTTGAGAGAACCGAAAGTCATGAAGAATATTACTTGTAATCGATTGATTTGGGCGTTTTGGGGGGAATGGGCATTGTTGGTTTCAGGCAATTTTTTTTTCTCATAATCATATAACTACCTATCAGCTTTTATAGCTTTTATAGACTCGCCTTGGTTAGAACTTGTGCCTGGTTCTCAGTCGGAGCGAGCTGGGCGTTAGCACTTGTTATCGCGGGACCTTGGGGGATCGGGGTGGACCATACGATACACTGGCGTACTTGGAGGGATTTGCATCAAATGAAATTAAAATACACACACATGGTGAACTTTGACACCTATTGCCAATTGATTCTATATTACTTGTCGCGTGCTGTTCTCGCTGCGTAGAAGCGCTCGCTTGGCTTGTACCCGTCTATCTCAGCAGCACCAGAGCGCACCTGGACCCAGAGGACCCCAGCCACCTCACTTTCACTCCTGAGTTGCGTTGCATCCTCACTCCTTCTCGAGTAACGATTATTTCTCTTTGCAAACCCCATGACTTCAATCTTGGTTGAACAACAATCTCAGTAGCTGCGACGCCAGTTCCTCATCGCGCCAAGCTGCTGATAGTGTGGGCGCGCCAAAACGAAAGCATTGATCCCCGTCGCGGGACGAGCCGTTCCTAGTTTGCTGCCTCCTGTTGGCTCCAGAGGCGACCACAGGCCGGACCCGACGTGAAGCAGCAATCTATCGAGTTGCAGAGAACGGGAATCGCTCGAAGCTGCCGATGCTGCGTCTGCACTCGATGCGCTCGCCTTTCTCGATCTAGGCCGGGAAAAGAGCAAACGCCTGCTCTGTTTCGTCGAGCTGTCTCATTCTCTTATACAACGCCCGTTTGCAAATACCACTTTACTCGGTATTTGCCTTGTTTGGAATCTCGAGACATTTCTGTACTATCTGTTTCTCCATATTCTTCCCATATTCTTCCCATATTCCCAGGCAAGTACCTTTTGTCGCGCACTGTTCATCGTTGCTCTGGTACCTCGCTCTATCTTTGTCGGCGCCGCCCCCCGAATTTGCGGCGAACATCATCTCACCAATCCAAGCAAGTGCTGGTCTTTTCAATTTGTTTACATCTACCGTAAACTGATTGCTCTTCTGGCGGTCCGTCACTGCAGTGCAGCGTTGGAAAACAGCTGCCAGCTGCCACAGACAGACGCTTCTCCAACTCCAGTTGCACTTCTTCTCTTCTTTCACAGCCTCTCATCCGCACTTCATCAACGCACCTGCGAGAATTTTTCTCTCGTCATTCAATCAACTTCTTTTTTATTGTTTTCCGCCCCTCACCACCGCTTTTTCTTACTCATCTAACCAGCTCCCGCCACAGCTCCAATCCCAACCCACGCAGCACACCTTCAATCTATTCCGAAGCCCCAACTCTGTGTATGTTTTCTTTCAGAACGAAGCTTATCCTCCTTTTATTTGCTAACGTCTCTCAACAGCATCATGGCCCCTTCAGCTTCCAAGGCAAACTACAAATCCTACGAGGCCCAGGCCCGTCTGGTCCGCGCCATTGTCGCAGCGCACCCCACCACCAAATGGAACTACAAAGGTACTACATCTACATCTTGCTTCACGCCCTGCCCGCCTCACTTCTTTGCATGATTTAGCTTCTCCTCCGTGCGGCTCGTATAGACATAAACGAGATGGATAGTGATTGACTGTTGCTCGGCAGAGATTGCCGCCTGCTACGGCTCAGACATGTCGGAGCATGCCCTCAACCATCGCTTCCGCTACATTCGTGCCCAGAGCGAGATTATCATGGCAGGTCGCAAAGCCAAACTGGACGTCAAGGATCTCACTACTGATGAGTCTTCTCTGCCCAAGACCGTCGGTGCCGTGGACAAGAAGAGTACGCCGCCACTAACTTTCTTCCTATCGATCGCGGCCCATTTCCCGGCTGCAGCCTCTTGACACACATTTAACGATTGACATTTTCGAAAAGAGTTTCAACAGCTAACCAATGTTTCATAGACATTGCCAAGTACTTTGGCCAGTCCACGGCTGATGGGATCCAGTTCCAGTTCCGCGCCATCAAAAAGGACGCGGACAAGTTGCGCGCCGTCGCCGACAGCGGCGGCGACCCGTCCGCCTGTCTCGACCTCAACTCCGGGAGCAGCAGCAGCGGTCCGGCCTTTACGCCCACGACGACGCCGAAGACGTCTCGCTCGCGCAACGCCGCCACCCCCACTACCGGCGGCGGCGGGACCAGCACCATCAAGCGAGCTCGTGGCGACCTCGCTGTCGTCAAGATAGAATCTGACGAAGAGGACTCTGAATCGACGAACAACTGGAGTGAGATGGAGGCCACGCCCTCAAAGCGGCCCCGGACGCTCGCTGCTGCCACTACCCCAGGCCAGAGGAACGGCACGCCCTCGCGCCGAGCTGCAGCCGCCAGAGCCAGCGCTACTATCGCTGATGCTTCCGCGCAGCTTCAGACGAGCGAGTCCGAGGCTGAGACGAAACCCGCCGTCCGCGCTGCCATGCCGCTCGACGGGCTCCCAACGCATGCCCGCAACGGCACGGCCGCCACCGTGCGACCCTCGTCCGCGTTTGCCACGGCCGCCACCCCGGCCACCCCCTCCCTGTTTGCCAGCGTTCCTGCCTTTCGCCCGGCCCCCCCGCCGCCGCCCCCGCCGTCGACCGGCTTCACAAGCCCCTTTACAAACACGGCCACGGATACGTACCTCGGCAGCGCCGGTAGCGCCGCTCCCTTTGGCGCTCTGGCTGCCGACGATGCCTTTTACGACGATGACGACGCCCCTGACGGCGAGTACTAAGCCTCACCGAGAGCGAACAGGACGTCGCTGAGTTTTTTTTTCCTCGTCGCCTATTTTGCATTTCTTGATGCTACCGAATTTTTCCTTCCCGTTTTCTATACCCATACGATGTGCGTTGCTGTGTGATGCCGACTCTCCTCACTTTTTTTTTACTTCTTGCACATGTTGGTCTTTGCTACACTTGGGGGAATCTGACCACCCCTACTTGAGCTTATTTTGGTCTCATTGTCTTTTGTTTTAAGGGTAATTTCTGCTTTTTTTCTTTGGTAAGAAAAAAAAATATCATCTTGTTCGTCCACAATTCAGGCGACAGCCCAGGTTAGGCTCATTACGGAACGGAATGGGGAAAAAAAAAAGGGAACGTTGGCTTAGATGGTTTTTGAGAGCAAACTCTTTAGGGATTACGGAGCCGCATAGGACGGCATGAGAACAATAAAGCAGAATTAGTCTGTTAATACAAGACACCGTGATACCAGACATGGTACTGCCATGTGCATGTTGTATTCTGCAACTAATGGTCGCTATGTCTCCTCCGTAGACGGGGCTTCCCCCACCCCTAACCCAGCGTTTATACATTTGTTTTCTTGGTATCTTCTCCTCATCGTGCCTGGTTCCTCAATTCAACACCCACCCACCCTCGTCAAAATCAGGGCCGCCTTCCGTCAAAAGCACAAAACAAAACAACTTGTTTACGCGAGCAGCAGGTCCCACAGGGCTTGGTGGTCCACAAAGTCGTGGTGAATGACATTGACCAGCCAGTAGTCGTCGCGGATGCCGCTCAGCAGGGTCGCGCTGGGCGAACCCCTGCCGTAGACGCGGGACCACTCGCCCCAGATGCCAAAGGCCTCCTCGCACCAGGCGCGAAACGAGACCTCTTCGATGATGGTGGGGGTGACAATCTCCTTGCCGGGGAAGACGCCCCACGTGACGGCGTTTGTGCTGCTGGCGGTGGCGGTGACGGTGCTGTTGCTGTCAGAGCTGACAAAGTCGCCGGCGGCGTTGCCGGCGTAGAAGCAGACGACCTCGCGGACGCCCGGGCGCTGCAGCTTGTCCCTGAGAGCGGCCCAGTCGGCGGAGGAGATGAAGAATTCGAGAAAGGCCTTTTGGAAGACGAAGCCGTTGGCGGGGCCCCAGCCAAAGGTGGCGTCGGCGGAGCGGACGCCGTTGACGGCCGGCTGCGAGGCCACGGTCCACCAGCCCTTTGCGTTGAGGGCGGCGAGGTGCGGCGTGATGGTGGAGGACTCGGCGAGCAGCTCCTCCTCGCTCCAGGGGAGGGCGGGGAGCTCGCCGCGGACGTGGCGGACAAACATGTCGTCAATGTCGCGCGTCGTGGCCGGGTGGCCCCAGAGCTTGACGGCCTGCGTGACCGACATGTGCAGGCTGACGCCGTAGCCGTCAATCTCGCCGTAGGCGGGGGAGCGCGAGTCGCCGAAGCGGCCGTTGGGGAAGTCGTCCCAGGTGGCCTCGCGGCCGAGCGCGCCCTCGCCCTCGGAGATGGCGAGCGTGTTGGCGCGCGCGTTGAGCTGCGCGGCGGGCACGGCCGCCTCGGCGCCCGTCGCCTCCCACTCGGGGTTGGTGCGCCGCCCGGTGCTGGCGATGACGCGGTTGTGCGGGTCCGAGCCGACCGACGAGTGCCGCCGCGTGGAGCGCGAGTGGCTGCGCGGGGGCGGGATCGCGTGGCCGTTGACCTGGAGGAAGGGGCCCGATGTCGGGCCGCCGTCGACGACGGCGTCCTCTTGCGTCGCGGGCTCGTCGGGGATGAGGTGCGTGCGCTCGAGGATAAACGTCACGGCCTTTTCGAGGTTGAGGGTGTAGAAGTGGAAGCCGCGGGGGCCGGGCGTCTTGCGCTTGACGGTGCGGATCTGCTCGACGAGCTCGCTGAGAATGTCGACGCCAATGGCCTTGACGCGCTCGTCGTCTCCCTTGACGGCGTGGAGGCGCTCGAGGATGGCGGCCGGCATGGCGGCGTGGCTGAGCTTGGCCGTGCGCTTGATCATGGCAAAGCTCTGGATGGGCATGAGGCCCGGCATGATGGGAATGGTTCGGAAGGCGCCGCTGGGGTGCTGGCGCAGCGCCGTCTCAAACTGCTCGTACGCCTCAATGTCGAAGAAGAGCTGCGTCATGATGAAGTCGGCGCCGGCTTGCACCTTGTCGACCAGGTAGGGCAGGTCGTGCTCGAGGCACTGGCCCAGTGGGTGGCTCTCGTCAGCGTGGCCCTCGGGGTATGCGGCGACGCCGATGCAAAAGTAGTCGCCGTGCTTTTTGCGAATGTACTTGACCAGGTCCAGGGCCATGACAAAGTCGTCGCCGGCCTCGCCCTCGGCCTCGTCGTCGTCGTCGCTGGCCGTGCGGTACTCCTCCTTGCGCGGGGGGTCGCCGCGCAGGGCTAGAATGTTGCGAATACCGAGGGCCTTGGCGTCGTCGAGGGCCTTGTCGACGAGCTTGCGGCTCATGTTGGTGCACGTCAGGTGCAGGCATGTCGTCATGCCGAGCTCGCGCTGGCACAGCTCGGCCAGCTCGAGCGACTTGTCGGCCGTCGTGCCGCCGGCGCCCCAGGTGACGTTGACAAAGAGCGGCCGCAGCCCTTGCTCCATGCGGTGCAGCCGGTCGCGCAGGTTGGAGAAGCCCATGGCCGTCTTGGGCGGGAAGAACTCGAGGGAAAAGTACTCGGCGTCGGCCGGCAGCGCGGCGATCTTGTCTGTAATCTTTTCCATGTTGGGTCGGTTGTGTCAGGCGGCGAGCCCGGTTCTCAGACAGGAAAAGAGGCTTCGCAGTTCGCGGCAAGATGGGACAGGTCGTCGACGAGGTTGTGTCGAGTCGTCGACGGTCGTGGAGGCGTGTGTCCGCCGCCAATGGTGGGGTTCACTCGCACCGACCGGAAGTGGCGATGGCGGTCGGGTCGTCGGCTCCGCGCAGGTATGTGTCTCGGGACGAAACAACGGGATTGCAAGATTGAGGCAACACCAGGGGTTTTTAATTTGGTTGAATTGGATGCGGAGCCCCTTGACCGGCAGGCCAGATGGAAAGCCGAAGGTAAGCCAGGAAGGCCGTCAAGAGCTGTTTTTGAGAGCCCCACGCACGCGGGGCGAGATGGTTGTTTGGCGGGGTTGAAGGAAACTGTTGATAATAATCAGCGACCTCGTTGGTCGGATTAAGGGAGGTCTGGCAGCAGCCGGATTGTCGGGATTGCGCAATTACAACACTACTTTAACGTACTACGATTACTTGCAACTAGGACGTGCCACTGGCGGCAACATTTCCTGCGACCTCTAGCTCCTGGAGTCACCTGAGCGGCTTCGGAGCGCGGAACAGCGGCGAACTTTAGCGGTCACGCGTTTAGGAGGCAATAGTGTACAGAAAATCCCAAGCAATATAGCACAGTAAATGTGGAATTTACTCGATTCTCAATTCTTTCAAAAATTATGTAGAATCAAAGAAAATCAATTTGAACACAGGCCTGTCGAGACAAATGTCCAGAGACACCCTCCTAATACATTGTACTTGAACAATTCCATTAGCCACCATCAGCCACACTCGTACTAAGCCCCTTCGGGAGCTCCAACGTTTTTGCTGTTCACAAGCTTCGTTCCGTGCATCGCATCGCATTGTGTCTATCGCGGTACGTCTATTCCACAAACAAGCGCTTCCGGTATTTCAGAGCACCTAGAATGGTCACACCGTAATGCTGGCTCTCCACACAAGGCAGCTCCCTGCGCGTGCAGCTGCCCAACTCCGGTCACGCGCTGCCTGCTGTGCCGCCAATCGCCAGTCACTGTTGACCAGCCAATCGCATACCACCAAGACCCTCGATGTCAACTTATTTCCCCGGCTCAGACGATGGTATAGCCTCAATTTAAAAACAATTGATGCGGAATGGCGCAAGAATTGGCAAGAAATCGCCGCCCACGAGCCGACGCAGAAAGAGCGTGTCCAGAGCTCCACGAATACCAAATATGTTCTTCCCATGTTTCCCTACCCGTCGGGCACCCTGCATCTCGGTCACTTGCGCGTCTACGCTATTGCCGATGTCGTTGCCAGATATCATGGCCTCAAAGGCCACGATGTGCTGCTTCCCATGGGATGGGACGCCTTTGGTCTACCAGCTGAGAACGCGGCCCTGGAACGTGGCGTCCCTCCAGCTGGCTGGACGCGGAGCAACATTGTGAAAATGAAGGAACAGCTCGGGGTTATGAATGGAAGCTGGGATTGGAGCAACGTGGGTATCCTCCGCACTACTGCCGACACCCCTCTGACGCTGAATAGGAGCTGGCATCGTGCGACCCCGACTTTTACAAGCATACCCAAAAGCTTTTCCTCATGCTGTACGAAAAAGGCCTTGCCTACCAAGCCGAAGCCGAAGTCAACTACGATCCTGTCGATAAAACCGTCCTGGCCAATGAGCAAGTAGACGCCAACGGTTTCTCGTGGCGCTCTGGTGCCAAGGTGGAAAAGAAGCTTCTCAAACAGTGGTTCCTGCGCATCTCAGACTATCGCGAGGATCTGCTGCGTGAGCTAGATACGCTCGCCAAAGATGACGCGTGGCCAGATCACGTCCTCGCTCAGCAACGCAACTGGCTTGGGAAATCTACCGGAGCGCTCATCAAGTTTCCAATCATAGCCATGGGCCAAGATGTAGGCTCTGCTATTGAAGTCTTCACCACACGCCCCGATACTCTGTTCGGCGTACAGTATATCGCGCTTGCGGCGTCTCACCCAGCGGTTAAGCAACTCGCCGATGCAGACCCCAAGCTGCGCGCATTTTTAGATACTCTCCCTGGCCTACCGCCTGACTCCAAAGTGGGCTATGTCTTGCCCCAGCTTCGAGCGATCAACCCGCTTGCGTATAACGAGGATACCCCCGATGCTACCAAAGCGTCCTTGCCAGTTTTTGTCGCACCATATGTGCTCGGTGATTACGGTGAGGGTGCCGTCATGGGCGTGCCGGGACACGATGTCCGAGACCACGCTTTCTGGAAGACACACAACAGCGAACAACCTGTTCGACATGTAATCGCAGAATCGCCCGATGAGTCTACTGCCATCATTCCGGCCGAGCCTTATGTAGAGCATGGCTTCATGACGGCGCACAGCGGGCCCTTCAAGGGCAAATCCTCCAAGGATGCCGCTGAGATCATGGTCAATATGCTTAAAGCGGCAGAGCTGGCCACCCCTGTGGAGAAATGGCGCCTTCGTGACTGGCTCATCAGTCGTCAGCGGTACTGGGGAGCACCTATTCCCATCATTCACTGCAGCAGCTGTGGAAGCGTGCCTGTACCAGAAGCAGATCTCCCTGTGAAGCTTCCGGATGTTGAAAAGCACTGGCAGGCTGGAAATGCCGGCAACGCGCTGGAAACATCTCCTGGGTTTGTCAACACCGAGTGTCCGAAGTGCAAGGGGCCCGCGCGCCGTGATACAGACACAATGGACACGTTTGTGGACTCGAGTTGGTATTTTGCCCGCTTTGCTGATCCTCACAACAGCAAAGAACTATTCTCGCCTGAATCTACCAAGACCCTACCGGTTGACATTTATATCGGAGGTGTTGAGCATGCAATTCTCCATCTGCTCTACTCACGCTTCATCTTCAAGTTCCTAGCTGGGACATCACTGATGCCCGAGTACACTGAAGAAACTGCTGGCACCGCTGAGCCGTTCAGGCGCTTGATTACGCAGGGCATGGTTCATGGCAAGACATTCATCGACCCGACCAACGGCAGATTCTTGAAGCCAAACGAGATCGATCTCAGCGATGCAGCTCAACCCAAGGTTGCAACGAGCGGTACCCCCGCCGAGGTGCGCTACGAGAAGATGTCCAAGTCCAAGTACAACGGCGTAGACCCGACCGAGTTCATTGCCAAGTATGGTGCCGATGCCACGCGAGCGCACATGCTGTTTCAGGCTCCAGTCGCCGACGAGCTCAAGTGGGATGAGTCCAAGATTTCGGGGGTGACTCGATGGCTACATCGACTGTATGACACTGTTGTCAAGGTCGCAGCTGCTACGCCTGCCCCGAATGAGACTGCCTCGGACTATTTGCAAGCTAGGCAGGCCAATCTTGGAAACTTGAGCAAAGGAGAAGCCAAGACACTCAACACTGATATCCTTCTCTGGCGGGAGACTCAGCGCATCATTACCAACATTACGCGCGCATATGATCAGGTGTATGCGCTCAATATTATTGTATCCGACCTGATGACGCTCACCAACGCTCTCGTGGGAGCCAAGGGCGCCAGCGCCGTCATCCAGTGGCAGGTGGCCGAAACCATGACGAGACTCATGGCGCCGGTCGTGCCGGCCGTGGCGGAAGAGTGCTGGAGCGTTCTTCACCCGTCCGCCGGGTCCCTGTTCAAGTCGGCTAGCTTTCCCGAGGCAGATGGCTCACTCCAGATCCTGAAGCCACAATCGCAGACGAGCGTGATTCAGGTCAACGGCAAGGTACGTGCCAACCTGGAGCTGCCGGCGCCGGAAGGCGGTCTCGTAGGCGATGCGCTCAAGGACTGGATGGTGGGGCAGATTCTGGCGACGGAAGAAGGACGCGCGAAATTTGGCCAAGGTCAATACGATATCAGACAGGCAAAGCGGGCGATTGCCGTGCAAAACGGGGCGCTGATTAACTTTGTCATGTAACAGCATCTGTACTATTAGCATGTTTGATAGAGGGCCTGTAGAGCGATGGAAATATAATGTAAGATAGAAGCAGGCCGAAGGGTCATAGAGGGCTACGAGTGTACATGTCTAACTCATTCATGATAGATGGTTTCAGTGATCGTTGTGGAACGAAACTATTCTTGATCTCTATATTCAATCATCTATTGCTGTTTAGTTGATGTGTCGTGTGAAATGCGACTCAATCTAAACGTCTCTCCTCGCCGGGCGGCAGCAGGCGATCCGTCTCGTCTTCACGATGGCCACCGACGCTCTTCTTGCGGTAAATCACATAGTGCTGCAGAATAAAGAGCAGGTCAAAAAAGATGCTCAGCTGGCCGAGGCCAAACTTGACGGGGTTGCTGGTGATGCCGCTCCAGTCGTGCTGCAGGTAGCTGTCGATGCCCTGCTGTGCGATGCTCAGGACGCCGCCGACCAGGTCCAGCAGGATCTGCCAGATGCTCCACCCGTCGGTGCTGCGGTTGCGGATGTTGGTCAGCAGCTGGGGCGTGTACTTGACGAGCGTGACGACGAGCTTGACGTAGCCGAGGGCGTAGACGACGTCGATCTCGCACCAGTCGACGGCGGGATCGACCGGGCGGCCGCCGGAGCGCACGCCGCGCACGACGAGATACGTGGCGGCGACGCCGAGCGCGGCGCCGACGGTCAGCCCGGTGGCGAAGCGGCTCGGCCGAGTGCCCGGGCTGTGGTGGTGGTGGTGGTGGGGGTGGCCGCCGGCGGTCGCGGGGAAGCGCCAGAGCGCGGTGCCGACGAGGTACTGCGAGGCCGTGATGAGCGACAGCACGAGGCCGTGCAGCGCAAAGACGACGTCGTTGAACTGCACCGTCGGCGTGAGGCCGCTGTTGCGCGCGGCGTACTGCTGCCGCACGTCGCGCGAGTAGTACAGCGCGAGGTTCGAGGCAAAGTAGGACGTGAAGCCTTTAAAATTTAAAAAAAAGGGAGCTGGGGTTAGTGAAAAAAAAACTGAGGAGTGGCGACGGCGACGCGCATCATTCGTACCTAGGACGTTGAGAAACGGAAAGTCAACCGTGGTGCCCGTCGTCGACCGCCGGCGAAAGTTGAGCAGCGCTTGCGGGTAAAACGACAGACTCCAGAGGGTAAAGTAGACCCAGCCAAAGACGGCCGAGATGACGTTGAGGAAGTCGTCGTTGGCCATGATGGCGAGGAGAAATCGGCCGCGGCGCAAAAGCTGTTCTGCGTGCTGGATCTATCTCGGGGAGAGCGGTGATTTTGCAACGCGAGCTCTGCTGGCCTTGCAAACAAGAGACGTGGGAAAAAGAGCGTGCGTGCCGGCGCGAAAAGAGTCATGTGCCGCTGGAGTTTCACAGTAGGGAAAGAAGAGAGAGAAAGGGCCCAAGTCAGGTCCGTGTTTGAAGGGATGGTTTTTTGGGAGGGGGGGGGGGGGGGGGTCGCTGACGGTCGGGTGTCGCGATCCGGTGACGAAATGGCGGGAGCGCTTCCATTGGCGTAGGGGCACGCCAGCCTAAGTAGTTAGCCTCGTTCTGGTTGTTCGCCGAGCGCCGGACTGCGTTTATAGGACAGCGGTGCGGCAAACCTCCTATGAAATGGGTTTGGATTGAACTAGACGGAGAACTGATGGTATTTGCGACATTTCATCGCCAAGCCACATGTATGCCTATACCAGTAGATGGGTAGTACAAGCCCCATACTCCGACGAAGGCGTCAGATGCATCTTTTCAACTTGAGTTGAAATACATAAAAGGCCAAAAGAATTCAAAAGTGATCTTTAGTCTTCCGGAATGAGAATTACGGAGTATTGCTCTCCATTTATCATCCTTGTCCAGATTCAACCCCAGAGTCATCGGTTCATTCTGTGGCGTACGACGCCACATCAGCGTAGAATCCGCCACACCTGCCGAATGAAGCGGATTCTTCCACTGCCATATCTGAGGCGAAAACATCAGCGAACATTCAGAAGATCAATTTAGATATCGAAATTCTGCTTTTTACATGTATATACAAACACCCAAATATCGCTTAATTCACCAGAACTCCACTTCCCCGTGTTCATTTATGCTTTCATCTCGGCCTGCGCAAACGTCCCCTCGACATCAACCCACGTCGTCTTGTTAATCTTCTCCTGCCCATACTCGCTCTTGAAGTGATAGCCCCTCGCCCGCGGCCTCTCGCCGGTGCCCTCTGGAAAGTCAGCCTCGTACGCGGCCGCGAAGCGCTCGGCGGCGGCGCCAAACGTGCCGTCGCGCAGGGCCGCGCGGACGCCGTCGAAGAAGCGGCTCATGGCGCAGTGGTTGTGGATCTGCAGCAGGCTCCAGCCCAGCATCTCCTTGGCGTTGAGCAGGTGCCGCAGGTAGGCGCGGTGGTGCGTCGTGCACGCGTAGCACGAGCAGCCGGCGCTCAGCGGCCGCAGCGCCGTCGCGTGCTCCTCGAGCCACATGTTGGTGCCCAGCGGCTGCGGCGCCGCGACGGAGGAGGCGGGCGCGGGGAACGTAAAGGTGAAGGCGACGCCCGAGTCGGACACGGCGTTGATAAAGGGCAGCACGCAGACGTCGACGCCGAGGGCGACTTGCTGGAGCACCTGCTGCGGCGTTTTGGGCGCGTCGAGCGAGAGCCGCGGCAGCGGGCCCAGCGCGGCGTAGTTGCGGATGATGTCGCCCAGGAGTCTGGTGTCGTAGATGGCGAGGCCGGAGAGCGACCCGAGGACGTCGTCGGCGAGGTGTTGCAGGTACGCCCACTGCAGCGGGTACTCCACCGGCAGCACCGGCGCAAACACGGCGCTGGTCGGCGCGGCGTCGGTCCCCGCCGCCGTCGCCTCCAGGAACTGGTCCAGCCACTCCTCCGTCCTGTCCACCATGCGCACGAGCTTCTTCGCCGGTGGCGCGGTGCTCGTATGCGGCAGATCCGCCAGCGGCACGACAACGTCGGGACGCAGCAGCCGCACGGCCTCGACGTACGCGGGGACCGAGAGGCCGCGGAAGCCCGTCGACGTGAAGAGTGTGACCGACTTGGCCGTGTTGCCCGTCGGCGTGGTGACGGTCTGGCTGCGACGCGCGGCCAGGATGGTCGCGCTGGCGAGTGGCAGGGCCGTGAAGCTGTGCAGTCTGTTTTCCCGCGTTACGGGCGTCTTGTATATAGGGGGCTGCGTCTTCTCAATGACTTGTGTGTGTGCATGTTAGCGGGGGACAGAACCTCATGGATAAAAAGCGAAAAAAAGAAAGAAAAAAAATAGTGCGTACAATCTTCGAGCGCCATGTAGACGGGCCCTGGCGACACGGATTTGGTCATGTTGTCGGGGGTCAGGTGCGGCACCGCCCCGCGGCTGGCGACGGACGTGTAGTTGGGTGTGTCAATGGCGGCGCGCCCGGGGAGGGCCAGCCGGCCGAGGCGGGCGGCGGTGCCGGCGACGGCGGCCGAGGTGAAGAGTGTGCGAGAGCCGGCCATGTCTGCACCCTCCATTTGACGGCCGTCCACAGAGCTCATCGTTGGTGGTTGCTTAGACTGGATTTGGTGATGAGAGAGCAGGGGTTGTTGGAGGAGCCGCCGTCTCGAATTTTCTCACACCTTGTTCACTTGGTGGGGCACCAGTGACCACCTACATCATTCACATGGCAGAAATAGTTGCATTATAGACAAGGGAATTGAGACTTGGGACAAGGGAATTGAGACTTGAGACTTGAGAGAAAAAAAAATTGTACGTTATAGGAGGTACTGGTAGACGGTTCATTTTTTAAAATTGATTATTTAAGAAACTATACATTCAAGCGGAAACTTTACATTTGAACGAATATGAGCTGTATTGGCCTAAAGCTACACATTGAACCGTCCGTGTAAGTCGGCTGTCTGTATTAAAATACAGCCTGGTTCTATTTCGTAGTGACTTGTAAAACCAATGTAGTACCGGAGTTCACGGAAAATTAAAACGGTCATACCTTGCTGCTTGACGTACTTGAGAACAGGGAGCCGAATTCTCGGACATTCAAATCATTAGAATGTAGAGTTATACATGGCTTTAAACTTAATTGTCATGATTTTTTCAGCAAGGCCCCTTCGAGCAGACGATTCGTAGTGCGACGTGACGAGACATGTTGATTCCATAGAAGCAGTGACCAACGCCAAACCCATTTACGCCAAGACGAGTTTATATGGAGATTTGGATATCAAATACGGCGTATACTCCCATCTGATGAGAATACGGAGCATGCATATTCCCATATTTCAAATACGGCATATTCCCATGTAATAACCCGCTGCCAAGTGCCTGGCTCCATCGCGCGTCAAGCCATCAGCACGTGGGTGCAAGGCCAGTCGTCGGAACCAAGTGTCATCACTCGGCGCGCTTTGCCAACGAGGAATTCCGGCATAGATTCCCCGGATGAGCAGCCAGTTGACGTCCCGACCCCGGGCGCATCCCGCATCCCGCATTCCCAGTGTTGCATTGGATGGTACGACGCCATGTCTCATCCGACGACAAACCAGGTCAATTGATGACGCCAACACATGGGTTGCTACTGGCCCATCTGATAACGTGGCAGCTTCGTTTACATAGTTAGGACAAGGTTGGGAGCGCGTGGCTTTTGGTATTCGCGCTTCCGTTCCAGAACCGGTGAACCAGGCCGGTGGCTTGCCGTCGACCGACGTGCGCCACCACCAGTGTCTTGAACGTGAAAGTCGATAAAAAAAATCAGCTCGGTCGCGGAAATGGACAGGCTAGCGAAATGAAAGAGGACTGCGCGGGTTGTGGGTAAAACGCCATCTGCAGTGTGTAATTCTGGTTCATGCATCGGTTCAAGCTTCATGACTAGTGTGAGCATCAGTGAGCAATGCTGTAATACAGAGTACTCGTAGATAGATGAATACCTGGGGAAAATGATGAAAATGACTAGAATTGCTGGGGAAAAGCAGTCATTTCTTGTCGTCGTGATTTGCGTCGGTTAAATTTTTTTTTGCTTCAGTCCTCGCCCGTTTGCAGCGTTCGTCGTCATCGGCCCTTGGCCCCTTCCATATTGGAACAGCAACCATCAAAACAATCAAACCACCACAAGGAACCTTTTCACACAAACGCTATCCTCCATCCTTTTTTCTTTTTTTTTTGCGCGCCAATGACGATGCAGATTTGACGCACGAGGCTTGGATCTCAATAGACAAGGCCACGCCAAGGGGCCGCTGCGGAGACGCTAGAGCAAGCGTACGGAATAACCTTACATTAACCTTTGCAGGCTCAATGTACCTGGGAGCTCATCACCACCGGACCGCGGTGCATTATTGCTCAGAGGTACCGGCCGGCCACTGGAAGCAAGTCGAGGCTGTGCTTGCACCAGTCACTCGCCCTGGATCTAGCCCAAGCCGGCCCAGCCCACCCCAACCTTGGCTTCCCGTCCTCGCTCAAACATCACCGCAGAACAGTCGCCAATACTGCACACAGCAAACGGCCCTTGCGATATCAACTCGTCTTCTGCATCCTCTCCGTTGACTAACTACTCCACTCCCCCAGATAATCCACGCAATGTCGGGCCAAATGGGGTCGTGGCGCACACACGTGGCTGTCGTGCTTGATAGCGAAAGGGCTTCGTGCAGCAGCTGAGCTTGCCATGCAGGTCCGGGTGCCGCGAGAGCGTCATGGGCAACAAGAACTGAAATAAACAGAGAAATTGACTCTCACTCCACAGCCCCTCCGGCCTATCGGAGCTCCGCGGTCTTGGGTTCAACCATCCACCGCCCAAGACTCTCCAATTGGCCGGCTCCGTCAACGTGCTGATCTTTGCTACACCGAGCCCTCCCAACAACCGACTTTCGATGGCGTTTTCTTTTCTTCTATAGTGTTAGCTAGCTTTTTGCTAGCTCTCGGATGCTCGTTAGCTCCAGCCTCCGTACGACACCCGCGCTCAGGGCCCTGGCAATCATGGCCGAGATGGGAGAGCCCTGCCAAGCATATAAGCTGCGCTGGCCCTCCTCGTTTCTCGTAACTCTTGTTCTTGAGCCTCGTCACCTTTGGTCTGAGTCTTGACTTGAGGAAGCCAAACTTCACATCTCTTTCCCCCCCTCTCAATTGAGAGCTTTCTTCCACCATGCTCGCCAAGTTCAACACGGCCGCCGCCCTCGTCGCGGCCGCCGCCGTCAGCCAGGTCTCTGCCCAGACCTTCCAGCGTCTGGGCGGCTGCCCTGATCTCGGCTGCGTCCTGCCGCCCGACCAGAGCGACTTCCTCCCCGGCCAGCTGTTTGATCTCCGCGTCGAGGTCCACGCCCCCGTCAACGGCTCCGAGGCGGCCCACAACGGCAAGCCCGACGAAAAGTTCAAGGTCACCATCACCAAGGAGGGCGGCAAGCCCAAGGACTTTGCCCAGGCCTTCAACATTGCCGAGCCCCAGCTCGAGAAGTGGCAGTTCAAGTGGTTCGAGGACCTCTACGCCGAAGACGCCAAGACGCCCTCGGTCGTCAACGTCGCCGCCAAGGCCTACCGGACCATTGCCCTCTACGAGCCCGGCAAGTACCAGGTCACCCTCGACTACTACAATGGCAGCAAGACCACTGCCAACTGGGTCGTCCGCGACATCTCCAAGGAGCGCAAGGCCAAGAACGTCATCTTCTTCATTGGTGACGGCATGACCACCAACATGGTATGTAGCGGCCCCGGCGCATAACGGCGCACCGCTGACAGAGGCCTTAGATCACCGCTGCCCGTCTGCTGGGACACCAGAGCATCAACGGAAAATACCAGTCTGTCCTCAAGATGGACCAGTTCCCCGTTGTTGGTCACCAGATGACTCACTCCCTCGACTCCTACATTACCGACTCTGCCAACTCTGCTTCTGCTCTCTACACTGGCCACAAGAGCACTGTCAACGCCATGGGGTAAGCAAAAGTTCCAACATATGACATCACAATAGAACTAACAAGCCCCAGCGTCCACGTCGACTCTTCCGCCGATGCCTTTGACGACCCCAAGGTTGAGACAATTGTCGAAGTCTTCCAGCGCGTTTGGGTAAGCTTCATACCCATCCTTCAAGATGATGCATGCTAACAGTCCCAGGGTGGTGCTTGGGGTGCCGTTTCTACTGCCTTCCTCGCCGATGCCACTCCCATTGCCCTCACCGGTCACACCCGCAAGCGCGCCGAGTATGGCGCTCTCATCGACCAGGCCCTGAACGGTGTTACCAACTGGACCTGGACTGCCAACAACGGTCCCGACGTCTTCTTTGGCGGCGGTGCCGAGCAGTTCATCCCCGGCAAGGGCTCCTACAAGGGCAAGGACTACTACCAGGAGTTTGCCAAGAAGGGCTACACCGTCAGCCTGAACAATACGGCCCTCCAGGCTGTCGACAAGAGCAAGCGTGCGCTCGGCGTCTTCAGCCAGAGCAACCTGCCCGTCTGGCTGGACCGCAACGTGTACAAGGACAACATCAAGAAGCTGACCAACGACCCCTCGGGGAAGAACAGCTCCGCCCTTGACATTCCTGGCCTCAAGGAGATGTCGGTCAAGGCCGTCGAGATTCTCGCCACTCGTGGCAAGGAGAAGGGCTTCTTCCTCATGTCCGAGGGTGCTTCCATTGACAAGCAGATGCACACTCTGGACTACGACCGTGCCCTGGCTGAGCTCCTGGAGATGGACGAGGCCATCAGCGCCACCATCAAGAAGCTCGAGGAGCTTGGCATCCGTGACGAGACTCTTGTCCTTGTCTCCGCCGACCACGGCCACGGCTTCGAGTGAGTTGGTCCCAACCTGCTAAATCATAGCAAATTCTAACCGAACATAGTGTCTATGGCTCTGCCGATACCAAGTACCTCAAGGAGGCCCCCGACCAGCGTGGCAAGCGCCGTGCCATTGGCACCTACGAGAAGTCTGGTCTGTCTCAGTACCACAAGGCCGACGGCCTCACCTACGGCACCGGCGCCAACTTCCCTACGAACTGGGAGCCCCGTTACGCCATTGCCGGTGGCGTTGCCGCGCACCCCGATATCCGCGAGAACTTCAGCGTCCACAAGAACGGTCCCCGCAACCCCTCGGTCAAGATTGGCGACGAGTACTTCGCCAACCCGAGCGACAGCCCCAACGGCTTCGTCGTCAACGGCACCTTCAGCACTGACGAGTCTGTCGGTGTGCACTCGCTGACCGATGTCCCCGTCTACGCCTGGGGCCCGTGCCAGGACACCTTTGGCGGCACCTATGGCAACGTGGACATCTTTTACAAGATTGCCGCCTGCCTGGGTCTCGCCCGCCACGAGGCCGGCACGCCGCCCCGCCCCGGTACCCCCGGCGGCAACAGCACCAGCACCGTCAAGCCCAACCCCGGCTCGACCAGCGCCGCGGGCCAGACGAGCACCAGCCTCCCTGCTTGTGCCCTTCCCAAGCCCAGCCCATAGAGAAATCGGCGCTCTTAGATGAAGTGAGAGAATGTGGTCAATGGTGGTTGCTGCCGAGATGTCATTCATTGTACATAACTTGAACGAAAAGAATGCTTAGATGTATAAATAGGGGACGAGGGGGGCGTTGGTGGAGTGCTTGAAGTAATAGACTGTGTAATTTGATGTCTCTGTCCAACTACCCTTGTCCGTGTGAATTCAATGCGTGACTTTTATATACCCTTGTATGTCCTTGTATACGAGTAGTCCCCTGGCCATGTCTCTCTCACGCCGCCAACGCCGCCAGCAGCTTGCGCAGCTCCTCCTCATCCAACCCGGTCCCATCCGCCCTCAGTGCCGCCGAATGCACCCATACACCCGCGCCCGGCGCAAACCGCGCAGCCAGCGCTCCCACATTATGATGGCGCACGCCGCCCCCCGCGACGACCTCGAGCCTGCCCGCCGCGCAGCACGCCACCACCTGCGCCAAGCGCTCCGCATTCGCCGCACACCCGCCGTCCACGGGCCCTCCCGCCGTCAGCACGCCAGCGAAGCCGCACCGCACGAGCGCGTCGACGCCAGCCTCAACATCAGGCAGGGC